ACACAATAGTACACTATTCTTATTATACAGTATCATTATTCTAGTACCCTATGGCTAAAAACTCTCCCTCACTCGCAGTTTCCCATACTCCCATCAATTACTGGTCCCACAAACTGTCATAGTAAGCTAACTACCACAATACTATTCACTGCTAACACTCAAGTTCTCACACTTACCTTACAACTCTTCCTGAGCGTTCTTGTATCTTTATGTTTGTTGCTTTACTTCAGTTTTATTCTCGGTCCTTCAATCATTAGTGTGCATTCCCTGGAGTGGGGACAATAACAATTGCACACATTCATGTTTTTATTATGAGTATTTTGTGTCAAGTTGGTACCACCTTATTACTTGCTTTTCAAGTGGTATCTAGAGCTTTCAGAGTTGCTAGAGCTAGCACAGGGTTTCTAGAGCTACCAAAAGGGTCAGTGTCACACTAGCTTACTACAGGCTCACTCGAGCTACTTCAGGAAGCTGATCAAGGGTCTGTAAAGCTAACAAAAAGTTGCCAGAGCAGACAAAGAGTTGATCAAGAAAACAGTGAGTTGCTCGAGTGAACAAAGTGTCACTTGGCTACTTAGGCATGGTAAAAGTGTAAAATAACCTTACAACAAAAGTAAGACTCACCTTATTTGTCTTCCCATCTTGATTAAGAGCAGCAGCATCAAGGGGAAGCCTTTACCAAGCAGAAGGCCATTTTCCTTTTCACGTGACTAGGAAGTGTACGAATACTGCTAATAAAATTTTTAAGATGCTTTTTCTCCAATGATTGAATTGGTCTGTAATTTGTACCCCTCCACTTTGAGGGGATGTAACTAAGCAAGCACGAGGCAGATTGGGGTCAAACCTTCACTAAAGGGACGAGCTTTACTTGCTTTACAATGTGGTACATAAATCTTAAATTTTATTTTTTTGCACCATAGGGCCCTTTGTCAATTATGGTCACATATAGATATTACTCGACACTGGGTGAAGAATTTTTTGGCCAGGTTAGGATATGTGAAGAGACATGCCAACAGCAAATCTAAAGTCAGTGTAGAAAATTTTGAGTGATACAAGCAACAGTTTTAGTTTGACATTAAAACAGTAGCTAAAATGAACATTCCAGAAGACCTAATTGTTAATTGGGATCACACTGGGCTGAACTATGTACCTGTTACTGAATGGATAATGGCTCAAGAAGAGTTGAAATCATGGGGCTTAAAGATAAGACAGATAACGGCTGTCTTTGGTTGTACAATGGCAGGAGATTTCTTGCCACCTTAGCTAATATACTTTGGGAAGACTCCAAAATGTGTACCTAGTGTGAAGTTTGCTGAAAATTGGCACATAACTTACACTGTGAATCATTGGGCCAATGAGAAAACTACTCTCGCTTATATTGACAAAATCTTGGTTTCGTACATAACTCAAAAGCGACGAGAACTCTCACTTGGCATCCAACATCCTGCTTTAATTCTTTTCAACCGTTTCAAATGTCAGTGAACGCCAGCCATTTTGTCTGAACTCGATAAAATAACATTTTTTGTTGTCATACCTACAAACTGCACAGACCGGCTCCAGCTACTGAATGTCAATTTGAATGAATCAGCAAGGATTTCCTGAGACAAAAATTTCAAAGAATGGTATGCCTATCAAGTTTAACTGGGGCTTTTATCAATGACATAATATTTCTCAGTACATTCTAATACTTTATACGGTCCATCATAAGGACGTTGAAGAGGTCACTTTACCGAATCTCGTCAAATTAGTACATGTGAAAAAGAGCGTGAAATAGGAATATGAGCATATCAAGTTGATGGAGAACGTACTGGAGTGAGTGAAAGGGATCGCACATAACACTTGAGTCAAGCAACATAATCTGACTTCGTGAAAGCAAATTAGTAGAAGAGAAAAATTCACCAGGGAGACAAACACTTGTACCATAAACTGGTTCAGCTGGAGAGTAATGTAAGTCCTATTGAACAGCAGTACTAACATCCAATAATACTAGAGAGAGGGACCCAGTCCATTATTCTGGAAGTGGTTGAGTTTCAATGCAGCTATCACTTGACAATGGAATCTCTCTATCATACCATTAGCCTCAGGGTGGTATGCTGTGGCATGACATGTAACGCTACCTAATAAAAGAGTTAGTTGAGCAAAAAGGATTCAAATTGACTGCCTCTATCAGTAGTAACTGTACAAGGGACACCAAAGCATGATATCCAACCAGCTTCTAAACCATGAGCAATTGTTAGAGCAGATATGTCAGGTATAGGAAAGGCTTCAGGCCATTCAGTGAACCTGTCTATACAAGTAAGTAAATATGTCAAACCATAAGATAAGGAAAGTGGTCCCACAATATCAATGTGAATATTGTCAAACCATGTATTAGAAGAGGGGAAATAACATACAGGTATGACAATGTGTTTATGTACTTTGACCTTTGACAGGGGAGACATGAGCGACTCCATGACTTGATATCAGGCACCGTTTGAGGCCAAACGAATCAAGATAAAATGAGCTTGAAGTAGAACGAATGCCAGAGCAAATGAAGCGACTCAAATACAGTACAACAAAATGAAGGCAGTACTACTGGGCAGGGTGTTCCCTTAGAAGTGTCGCAATAAAGAGATTGGAATAAGGAATACGAAATTGCTCCAAATGAAGAGTGTACGAGTTTCCTCGGAAGATACTGAAAATCTCCTTGAGTTAGAGCCATGTCCTCAAAATTAATTACTGGGGGTGTCTCTGATGATGACAGCTGATTAAGTTGAATGCAAGATAATGCATCAGCCACCGGATTCAAAGAACCAAGAACATGTCTGATGTCAGTGGTCAACTGTGATATGAAGTCCAAATGTCGAGACTAACGTGGTGAATGTTTATCAGACTTTGTAAACAAAGAATGAGTGGTTTGTGATCAGTATAAATGGAAAATGTAAGACCTTCAACAAAGTACCTGAAGTGATGAATGAAATAAATATACAGCCAAAAACTCTGTATCATAAGTGCTGTATTTAGCTTTAGTGGGAGTTAACTTGTAAGAAAAGTAGGCTATTGGCTTCCACTGATTACCAATAAATTGTTGTAGAATAGTTCCCACAGCTATATTTGAAGCATCGGACATGACAGCAGTCGGAGCGTCACATTTAGGATGAGAGAGAAGAGTGGCTTCAGCTAGTGTTGTTTTGGCTTTATGAAATGTATTAACAAAATCATCAGTCCAGGAAATAGGAAAACGAGTAGGAGTTGAAGTATAAAGGTTGGAGAGTTTGAGAACAGTGAGGGATGAAGCCATGATAAAAATTAATGAGACCCAAGAACTGTCTGAGTTGACACTGAGACTGAGGTAAAGGGAAATCAGTGACAGCAGATACTTTAGACTTTAAGGGTCGGATACCATTGTCATCAACTATATGACCAAAAAAGTGTAATGAGGATTGACAAAACTCACATTTGTCAGGGTTAATGAAGACTCCACAATCGTTACAACGATCAAATATTTGTTTAAGATGGTTCTTGTGTTCGACCTCATGAGAACTAGCTACCAACATGTCATCAATGTATACATAGGCAAACTCAAGACCATAAAGAACCATATCCATAAAACGCTGAAACGTTTCAGCTGCATTTTTTAGACCACAGGGCATACAAATGAATTCAAATAATCCGAAAGGTGTGGTAACTGCCATTTTATGGACATCTTCTGTAGCAACTGGTAATTCATGGTACGCACGAACGAGATCTAGTTTGCAGAAAAACGAGTACTGTGTAAAGTGGATGCATAATCTTAAATGTGTGGGATGGGATATTGGTCAGGTACTGCCATCCTATTGTGTGCCCTATAGTCCCTGCATGGTTGCCAATCACCACTAGTCTTCATGGGACCATATGTAAGGCAGAGGACCATTGACTTAAAGAAGGACAGATTCCTAGTTCCATCATGAGAGAGAAATCTGAATGAGCGATTGCTAAGCATTCGGGAGGCCGTTATGGAGTTTGAGCAATTACGGGTAGTCCTGATGTCTGATTATGATGAATGACGTTCAGGACAGCCTCAAAGGAGGGATGACAAAAAGTTAGAGAAAAAGAGTGGGTTAAGAGTAAGACCGTATGCATTCTGGTGTGTGCATTGCATGATAGTTTGAATATTTGTTTGAGAATCAGTGTCTTGCAACGTCAACGTCTATCAATAAGGAGACCATGGTGTTGAAGAAAGTCAACACCCAAGATAGGCTGTTTCAAATCTGTGATAGTGAAGATCCAACGATATGGTCAACGAAGATGCAGATTGAGAGTGAGGGAGCATTGACCATAAGTTTGAATGTGAGTACCATTGGCAGTGTCAAATTTAATGAACAACAATATCGATCAGACTGAGTTGGAGGGACTACACTGACTTCAGCACCAGTATCTACCAAGAGTTTGAGATAAGAGGTTCTATCAATAATGTAGGACCAGCGACTGTGAGAGCTGCTGGCAACGTTGGCAGCCATCAATGTCCAGGTGGGTCGTTTCCCAAGTACCAAGTAAAAGATGAGCACACTTTGCAGCTTTCTCACCGAAACGATTGTGATACCAGCAAAGAGAGGAAGGAGTCAGACTGGCAGAGCGCTGTTGAGGATCCCTAGGTTTTGAGTTAGAACTAGAATGTTGTTGAAGAGATTGAAAAAGTGTCTGATGAATACTATTTTGAGATCGTAATTGTTCCACCTCCACTGAAAGTGGAGGAGTTTCTACAGAATTAACAGTAGGTGTGGCTACTTCACCAATTTGGTCAGCTAAAGCAACAATGGTCTCCAAATCATCTGACCCTTTTGCAACAGCAAGTACCATACAAACATTTGAGATGGTAAACCCTGAAGAGTTCCCGTAATAATTAATGGTCAGCAGTAGCAGCTTTCTCTCCTAGTAGTTGATTCATACGGTGGAGAAGTTGAGACGGATGGCGATACCCATAGGCGGATCTAGGATTCTGCAACTACCTGGGCTCATTAATTATTCATAAGGGGTGTGGTCTAATTGCTAGTTAACTGTTTATAACAATTAATTAACTGTTATTAACTTAATTGTAATGAAGGACAGCTATGGTTACAGCAAGACAATTCTACTGTTTTTGTGTGTTTCAGCAAACTTGATTACCAATTCGTCAAGCTTATCCCACAGTTTAGATGACAAAGATCTTTCTATATACAGAAGTGCTAGATTGGACAGACGATCTTGTGTCATTGTAGAGCGCAAATAGGTTTTAACCTTTCTAAGGGAAGAGAAGCTTCTTTCTGCCGTAGCACTGCTGACACCAATAGTCATGGCTATCTGATAGCACTGTATCACTGTTGGGAAGCACTCTGGTACCTTTGACAGTTGCTGGTAGGCATCGTGCAATGAGGAAGAGTCTGGATCCCTCTCATCAAGAAATATCTTCACAGTTGAAACTTCAGCCACGATTGCCGCTTCACTGATGTTGTAGTGGTTAAGGACAGGTTTCAGAACTGTTAAATCGAGAAAGGAGCTAGAGTTAGGAATCAGTGGCTCCAGAGATTTCAGAAGAGATAGATTTAGTTCACTGAACCTCTCGTCCATTTCTTCAACAATGGCATCAATGGTGGCATAGTAAACTTGAGTTTTATACTCATCTGTGGTGTTGACTGGTCTAGTACCAACGCTTGAATCAACAACAAAGCTATCTAGTTGTTTAGGAAGTCTATTGCTGCGTCTCTGTCTTAAAGGAGTAACAGTGATGCTACACTTTTCAGCCATAGAAACTGCTTGAGCCCATATTTGAGACCACTCATCATCAGATCGTAAGTTGGCAATTGTAAGCATTGTTCCTTTAATACAGGAGGCTGCTGCAGCATAGCTGATCTTCTGTGATTGAAGTAAAGTAGATAGATTGTTACTGATGGAGAAGATACGTTCAAAGAGAATGAGAGATAGAAGGAACTGAAAAGAGCTAACTTGATGCAGTAAGCCCCTGGCTTCAATACTCCTAGTATTATTGTCTTCTGATAGTTCCTCTAGGGTGAGAAGAAGAGCTTGTATTGTGGTCAAGACTGCTTTAATTGAAGAATGACGACATGACCACCTGGCATCTGAGAGCTTTTTCAGCTGAATCTCCCTCGTAAAATGAAGCTCCTTCTGTTTTGCCATAAATAGGGAGTGGGGAACAGAAGATGACAGAAAGACATACACACACTCTAGTAATGAAAAGAAGCTAGCAGCATGATCAACCTTCTTACAAGTGTCAACAAGAACAAGGTTGAGCTGGTGTGCATGACAGTGTATATAGATGGCAGCTGGATTGAGATCAGTGACCCTCTTCCTCACTCCTGACAAATGGCCGCTCATTACGGATGCACCGTCATAACATTGACTGATGCAGTTACTGATATCAACGCCTGTGTCTCTCAATCCCGTCATGATATATGTAAAGATGGCCTCAGCATCTAGCTCCTCACATTTAGTGAAGGAAATAAAACGCTCATGTGTCTTGCCATCTAAAACATATCTAAGAACAAGTGCTAACTGCTCAGTCTTACTGACGTCCTTCGTTTCATCGGCAATGATGGTGTAATATCGAGCAACACGTGACTCTTCCCTGATCATTGAAGATACTGACTCAGCAAGAAGAGATATTACACTATTTTGAATATCTTTTGCTAGCCATGTAGCATTCTTGGGACCATTAAACATTCTCTGTTTCACTATATCAATACTTCTGCTAAACAACACCATCAAAGCTCTGAAATTACCTACATTAACTGAGTAGTCATCAGAATCTATCACTTCTCTGTGGCCTCTGAGTGCTATGCCTTGTTGGCAACAGAACAAAATAGCTGCAAAGATTATTTTCACATATAATCTGTTCTCCTCTATCATTTGAAGTCTACATCTATCTAGCTGAACTGCTACTGAACTATTATTGGCAACCGTAGACTGGTATTCCTTCCATGATAGTACAGCCAGATGATGTTTGGAGCAGGAGGTATCATGACCTGTTAATGTGCCACTCTTGCCTCTGGCATGCTTCCAGTCACTAAAGCCTACACGAGTTAGAGACTGGTCGGCTGCTATCCCAAAGAAGCGACAGGGAAAACAATATACTGAATCTCTCTCAATAGAATACTCGAGCCAAGAGTAATCAGCATACCAACTTGCTTGGAAGCTTCTTTTTGATGACCCAAACATTCGAGCTGGAAACGTAATTCCTGATGGTTGATGAGGAGAGTCAGACTTGTGCTGTGCTATATCATTTGGAAGGTGTTGTTCAGCTCCTGAGCTACTCACTCTCTCCTCAGACTGCATGACATGCTCTGTGCTTTGACTACTTTCAATATCTATTTTATTATATTAAACTTCTAATTCTTAGTAAAACAATCAGCTTACCTGTTCTAGATTGAGTACAGGCTGTTGCTACATTCTGAACTGCAGCTGTATCAGACTCATTTCTATCAGCTGCTGTTTTGCTTCTTTTTGAAACAAATTGCATTAAAGAAGTCTGGGTCTGGTGTCTTTTAGACATGATAAATAACTTGCTAGCTAGTCTAGCAGATTAATGAATGATGCATGCAGCCTACAGTACTATAGTACTATAGAGTAATGGTACATTAAATACTTTGAGGTGGAAGCTACTGCATTGTTGTGGCAAGTGGCTTTGGTCCTGTGGCTTGTGGTTTGAACTTTGAATGTAATTGTAATTATAATAACAATATTTAAATGATAACTAAAAACCCAGCCCATGATAATAACTATTCCACACCTTTGGGTGTGGTCTCGAGTAAAATCTACCCGGGCAAAGCCCGGGCTAGCCCGGGCCTAGATCCGCCTTTGCGATCACCTAACTCTTCTGTGTTGAATAGCTGTTGAAGACATCTCTGTTTAGAAGCAGTGATACGCTTAATTAACTGTGATCTCAGTGCATCATAGGAAGTAGCAGACCGGGGCTTGAGAATCAAGTCATAGACCTCAGAAGCAATCTCAAGAGACAAGAAGGCAATAACATGGTCAAACTTTGTCTTCTGTACAGTAATACCTTTTGAAGCAAACTGTGCGTCCACCTAGACAAACCAAAGCTCAGGATTGGTGGGCCAGAAGGGAGGGATTTTAAGGACGACTGAGACCCCAGATGAAGCTGAAGATGGTACTGGAGGTTGAGGAGAAGAATTACGGGAGCCACTGCGATACATGACAGACGAGCGACAACAGAAAGAGGCCTCTAGAAGGTATTGTGATGAAGAACGGGTCACCGAATATTGCGGCTAGTAAGCCCAGATGAAATAAGTTAACAACAAATAGTTAGGTTGTCAAAATGTTATCATTTAATAACAAAGGAATGACATGGACAACAATAACAATGACACAAAGAGAGTAGCCAACAGTGAGATGAAGAAGGGAGAAAGAACAAAAGAACATCTGTGTGTTATGGACATGTGTGAAAATAATAATGAATATTAATACTGATAATAATAATAATAATGACAATGATAATGACAATGATAATAATAATCCGCTGATGCGTGTAATGGCAGTTGCGTGTGTTGACTAAAAATGTCTACTGGAGTAGAAGAGAATGGCTATAGTAGTCCTACAGCCAGTTCTGCTATAGGAAAAGCTCGCTTGGAGTTCCGTTGTCCAGCAGGACAAATCCAGTTGTCATTTTTCTGCTGTTTGGAGGCGGTCGGAGAGAGTGCAATAGTCATAGAAAATAATGTTGCTGCGATGGTGTGTGTGCTACTAAATGAGTGGCCCTGTAAATGCTGATCGGAAAGCAGAACGAGGTTCTAGGAGAAAATGTTCTGAGTTATGGAAGGATCGAGGTTATGGAATGTCTGAACAAGTATGCGATCAGGTTAGAGCTATTCAGAGTAAGGGATTGTTGGGTATGGTGGGGCTCGATGAGATCAAGAGTAGGGTTTCTGGGCGTGTGGAGTATGGAGTGAATGTGTCTCAGGAACCTTTAGAGCCTTGCGTTGGGTTAAGTGATCGTGACCAGTCTGTGGTTGGGTCACTTGCTATTGCTAATGGTGTCTCTGAGGAGGTTTGAGTGTCGGGTGGGCAGATTATGGATTTGTATAATGAGATTGGTAGTGATACGCATTTTTGGCTTGAATTCAGGAAGGTAGACAGAACGAAGTTGGGGGAGGAAACTAGAAAAGTTAACTAAGTACTGAGGTACATACACACCTACAATGTCAGTGAAACAAACAGCCTGTTGAAAGCAGGTAGCTTGCTGAATGCTAAGAGACTGGGGTTGAGGAACTTGGTGGGGGATACAAAGAGTCAGGGTGTCAGTTTTAATGAGCCATGGTGGAAGCGGAGGCTACAGGGAGATATTAAGTCTTTTGTAGACAGGGCTAATAATTAATAATTAACCGCATGGGTAGCAGTTGGCAATGTTGGGATAGCAGCAATATACAGTTGCTAAAACAAGAAGATAGCAACCAAAAATGACAGATGCATTTAGTTATGGGAGAAAGGGACACTTAAAGTACTTGTAGAAATCCAAAACATTGTTCCACAAGTCAACATGCAGTAATAATGCAGTAATGTAGCTTAGAAATTTGATCAGAATTATAAAGCAGCAATAATGAACAGTAGTTATGATATCAAACAATAGAGCAAGTGTACACACAATGTCTAGCAATGAATCAGAGCTTTCCTTATTTCCAAGTCAAGAAAATAGGCAAGAAAGAGAGCCTAGTATCAGCTTCTCAAGACCACACCTCTTATTGTCTCCATTACTTTACATGGAAATTGGTAAAAGTGTAGTGTTCTTTCAATACAAATGCTACATCATAGTTATAACCCTTGTTTTGTCAATAACAAGTTCTTTGTTGCTCTCATATTGTTATTCCCCTATGTAATGATGAACTGCTACAATGCAGTGATTGATATGTGGCAAAGAAGGCTTGAAAACAAGGAAACACAGCAATTAGACTTTTTAAATGTCTTCTGTATGTCCTACTCAAAGTGTCCTATCAGTTTAAGCTTGTTATCTCAAGTGGAGCAGAGAAATAGGTCAATAAGTTTTCCATGTCTCATTTGCTGTGAGACCACGCCCACACCACTCCTCCATTGGCTGCTATGGCGGGTCATAGGCAACACTGTTTCCCTATATTATTGGTGCTTCATTAAGCTTGTAGCTGCTTGTGATAGCTCTTTGGACTCCCCAGACATTGAAGAGTAAGATTATGTTAGCTATTTTTTGAGCACTTTGTGATTGAGTGACATAGCACACCTTGTTTGTAGTCTAACTACACGACAACTGCTTCTCAGACTATAACGTTCTAGAACCACAAGCTAACAGCTTCACTTTGGAGAATGTAAGGAAGAGGTTAGGTAAAGCCTACTCTCCTTACTTTGCCCGCAAAGTAAGTTTAAAAACTTTCATGCACAAAAAAACACATGGACGAATATACTCATCGGTACACATTCATTAAGGTTGTGGGTGGAAGAGTAAACTTGTCAGTGTGCACAAAAGAGATAAGCAGCTTAGGTATGTCATCAGTGTTTTAAATCAGCAATTGAAAGGCAAATTTAAGAAAGAATGGAAATTCCGGGAGTTGGATTGGAATTTCTGGATAGGGCAAAAAGGATAGAGGGTAGTCATTGAGGAAGTGAAGCAGAGATTAATAGCTAAGGCACACAAGATCAGGAGGTATGACCAGCGAAGAGAGCAGTACCAGCAAAATAGGCTGTTTTGCACAGATCAGAATAAGTTCGATTTGCAACTGAGGCAGATCAAGAGAAAGTAGTAACTATTCCTTCAGACTGTCAGGTTTTGTTTGGTCTGGGATTTGGAATACTGCTGTGCAGCACAATAGGAATGTAAAGTGGTTACCAGAGATCAAGGAGATTGGATATGAAAGGCAAGGGGAAGTAAATATAGATGTTGAGCAAGTTAAGAAACAGTGTGGTAAAATTCCAAATTGGAAGATGCCAGGGTTGGATGGTGTTCAGGGATATTGGTTCCAACAGTTCATGGCATGTCATGAAAGGATTGCTGAGCCGCTTAATGGTTTATTGCATGGAGAGGAGACCCCTGATTGGCTCACTTGTGGCAACACAGAGCTGGTTCAAAGGGATACAAGAAAGGGAACAGCTGTAGACGATTTTAAACCTATCTTTTGCTTACTAGTTTTGTGGAAGCTTCTCACTGGGATCCTTGCAGATGAGTTATACTGTCAGTTGGATATGGAAGCCCAGAAGGACACTCCAATACTGGGTGCCCAGTATGGAAGCCGGTATCGGATACCGTGTCTTGCTGTATCCGATCTGGCCTCCAACGGTATCGGAACGGCCATGATTCCGCTTTATTAGCGCAGTCACACCTCATGCCATGCCCAACAAGTAGAGAATTAGATTTGGGCTTTTAGTAAAGCTTTCAGTTGGGTGAGAAGTGAAAAACTTAGGGAGTTATGGCTGAAAGTGAAGATTTAGTGTCCTCTCTTATTGATATTTCAGACGCTTTACATGAAAAAGCCATGAAATTGGATGGTACTGATGATTCCAGATGTAAGTGAGGCCCTCATAGTATGTTGAGTTTCATTGGCTGTTGCAGAAATTATTAACCATTGTAAAGCCCTTTAAAAAATGACAAAGTAAAGTTTTGAAATAAGGAGTCAGAAAGATGATATTGAAGTAACTTTTATAGTCAGCTTTTTTATCATTCATCATTTTGTAGCATTTTGTGAAATGACCATGGCTCAAAATGGTTCGTATTGCAAGAGTTCTCCATATTATGAGGTACCTTTAAAGAAAAGCGATCTCTACAAAGATGTTGTATTGAAAGCAGAACCTGTTCTTCAACTAGATGGAGAGTATGATTCAATTAGTCTTTTTCGAGCTAGTGCGGTTGTTATTTCAGTTGCACCTCTCGCTTTTGGAAAAGTTTCTAGTGTTTGGAACATAGACAGATACTTACTTCGCCTGACAAACTACATGTAGGACTTGGTTCCAGGAACAAGTAAATAATAGCATTAATTAAATGTTTTATAAAATTACATTTTTCATTATTAGGGTGTCATAATCACGATGTATGAGTTATTAGCAATAATAAGGTATATACTGTTATGGTGAAAATAATATTTTTGTTTTATTTAGATTCCTTCTGTTAAAAAGTACGGTAAGCATGGCGTAGTACATAAGTTGATATTGTATAATAATATGACGTGGAAGATGTAGCAAGTTCAGCAATTCACCAAAGCAATTTTCAAGGTCAGTTTTCAAGTACCAGCTCAGAAAGTGTGCCATGAAGTAAGTATAAAGAAACTATTTTTGGCATAATATTTGCTTTTTTTTAAAACTTAACGATGGGTTTCTTTGTCTCCTATAAGTGACGAAAGTCTTTTACCACATGTGATGAGTATGATCACTAAATTAAGTAATAATTTTACCTACATTAAGGAGTAAAACCTAAAAAAGTTTAAAATGCAACTATGAACTTTGATGATATGATTATTGGTAAAGGTGGTTTTGGTGTGGTATATAAAGGTTGTAATATTCCTTCACATGGTACAACTG